AGAAACCTTGGTTTTGATAGTCACAGCTTTTCATAGGCACATATGAACTCATTCTACCTGTCTGATTAGACATGAACTCATATTCACTGTGAAAGCAGCAGAATGCTACAGGACCAGAGACAGCCCTCCAACACATTAATGCATGCTCAGTGCCACGCTAATCAACCACACAGCCTTTGCTCCATGAATGCTTACTGGAAGACTACTATGTGGACATATCCCATGTACTGAAATTATGGATTTAAATATTGAAAAAACCTTGCAAGAGGACTATATTGAATAGGGCTGGGAGAGTTCATTTGATGTCTTGGTGACAGAGAATTATGACAATTACGGACCTGAGAATGTCAAGCTGTTGCAAGTTTTGGTATGATAAATAAAAACACTAACACTATCACAGAAAACTTCTGTATACCCTATCTTAATATATTTTATATTCAACAGAAAAAGAAAATATTAAAAACGCTTTATTACCTTTGCTGCAGCTATAGCATGCTCAGATTTAATTATTTTACTTTTGTTCTCAAAAGCATTTGTCCTGGCTTCTTCTGCTAGGCGATGGAGAAACAGTAAGAAGTTCAAATGCACCTTTAAAAGAGAAAATATAAAATCAAGGAGGATTCAAACTACTCATATACAGTTTAAGTGAAGTAAACACCCTTTGTCAAAGGTTCGTTGTTGAGACAGATGATTTGTATGTTAGGCTGCTTACATTTTCCTGAAATGTGTTCTCAGGGAAACAAAGTGCCACTCAGCTCAAGTCTTAATAAATACTCAAGACATATGTACTACTGCAAGATTGTTATGAATATAGTTTAAATTCTGTATACTTAAATTTTACAGGTGCCTTAAACAGAAATGAGGATCACAGATGACATTATATATAACAAAAATAAAATCTGATTTACATTAGTAGACATTTTGGTTTTTTGTTTTTTATAAAATGTATACAAACACCAAGCAGAGAACAAGAAGTAGCCTTTTTGCTTACCAGTCCTAGTGTAGCCAGCTTCCAGTGACTAAAACGGTCAGACTTCAATGAACAGTAAATTCATCCCTGCTTTATCACCAAGTGGACTACAGACAAGTTCAACAGCTTCTGCCCCTTTCCAGTGCAAAGAAGCATTCACAAATTATTTCTCCAGTACAATAAGTTCTCCACTGTCAGGAGGTTCCATCCATTTTCTGCAAGCTCAGCACTAAACCATTTTTCATGTAAAGAATTGAGATGGCAGTATTCTGTTCAAAATAGAATGCTGCTCTGCTGGTAATGAAGTAGTAAAACTTTATGCAGCCTAGAAACTGCTCCAGCTTGTACTAGAATTGCTACCCAGAAGTATCCTAACTTAATAAGAAATCTATAATCTAAACCTCTAGCCTTCTTCTACAGTCCAACTTTAAAATGGGTGATTTTGCCTCCTACAAATTAAACCTTCAAACAAACAAGTTATTTTAACTTTGCCATGGGTTTATTATGTAAAGTGTACAAAATACTTTTCCCACCAAAAGCTCAAAAGTACTGCTGAAATATATCCAAATTTTATTTTGTTTATATTGAATTAAGTGATATACTTATTCTGTCCTATCTGACCTGCAAAGTCTAAAAGGTCATAACAGGGAAAGATACAATCTAGAATGTATAGGAAATACTTTGACAATAGGGTCACAAGAAAAAATGTTAGAGGACCTGCATTTTTGTGTTCATATGACAGGAAACTGGATTTTTTAAATCTGCTGAACTACATGAAATAGTGCAACAGAAACATTTATGTAATATCTGGCATCATCTGGGAGTATCTACTACACAAAAAGCAGACATTCTTGTAGACTTACTTAGCAAGAATATCAATGCCATTTTTAACCTCTTCCTTAACTACTCATACTGAAATTATCCAAAACAATCAGTGACACTAAAATAGCATTCAGCTCAGATTACTAAACTTATCAACACGGAAATTAGATTTCTGGAACCCACCTGCGGTAGAGAAGAGAGGCTTTTCATATTTTAAAGTTCTCCTTCTGAGATACCTGAAGGCAAAAGTGTTCATCTTAAAACTGTCTTTTAAAACTGCATATTCTCTCAGACTCACTGCACCTTTACTTTCTTATTTTCAAAGTGAATTGCTCTGTGTTGAGAAGCTTCCCCTAATCTCATATTGGTTTAAAAGAAACATAGTTACACAAGTAAAATCAGAACACACTAAAATAGAATCCACATGTTAATAAATATTCCAGATTATTTGGGGTTTATATTACCTCTATTTAAGGAAATTAAGAAAGGCTAATGAAAGGCAGAATGCTGGAATACCATGAATGGGACAGTTACTGACTAGTACCTAAGTGATACCACACTTGTTTAAAGCCATTGCTTTACTGTGTGTTAGACTGTCCTCAGCATAAAACTTAAAAACAGTTTTGAATTACATATGAAAATCACCTTGCACAACAGCATACTCATTTCCCAGAAAAGTAGTATTTGGTTTTGAAAATTTTATGAACACATGAAAAACTCACAACACTCTGGCAGAATGATTCCTGCACACCTGTTCAGCAG